ATACATATACACATATACAGTTTCACTCAAAATGCTTCAACCCCCACCGCAAATCAGGTCCATCCGCAAAATCTACAAACCCCCAGCCGCTCCCAATGAACAACCTAAACAAGGATGCGATGTTACTGATCAGTCCAGTTCAAGCTGCTGCAGCGAGACTAGTTGAGACCAGTCAGGTTCCTCCAGCACCTCAGGCTGCTTTGCTTTGTTTGGTTCATATGTTTAAAAGATCAGATATGAGGCAGGGGAACAAGCCCTGGTTTGCTTCACACTATCATTTCAAAATCAGGAACAACGAACTTACAACTTTAAAAGCTAGTTGATGTTAGGCCCCGAAATGTGTATTTGCTGGTGGTATTATAGTGGACACACATACCGTCAACATACGTTTGATCAGGGGCTGTTGTTCACAGTTTCAAAGTGTTTCAAATTGTGTGCTAACAGTTTGACATGACAACACGTGTGTAAAGGAATTTCCCAGTTTGGTGTGGAAAATCTTGACTGGTCTCCGAGAGCCCTGACCTCAAGCCCATTTACAGTATCAAACACCTTTGAGATGAAGTTAAAGATAATCGCCCAACTTCCGTTCCCAACCTCACTAATGCACTTGTGGCTTAATAAAAAAAAATCCCTGCAGCCAGGTTCGCAAATCTTGCGGAAAGCTATCCAAGGAGAGTGGTGGCTATTATAGAAGCAGATTAAGGCCTGTGGTTGTGTGGTGTAGATGTTCAACAATCACATATTGGTTTGATGTTCAGGTGTCAATATGCTTCTTGCAATAAAGTGTTCATGTGTGTCTTCACCTTTCTTTTGTTCAACAGGAAATGTCATGTGCGTCTGTGGTGAACTCCTATTTCACAATGCCAACAGAAGAAGAAAAAAATACTTTCAAGGTAGGAGACACCTGGTATTTTTCACTTTATCAATGAAATAAAACTCCTTTAAAAAGACCTTTCTGGGGAGCTATGAAGTCCAGTCTTTGAATATGCACTCAGAACCTTTATGTAAAAAAAGTACAGGAATTTTATCAAATGGTACTAATACGGACTACACCCATCACAGGTGTACTATGAATACAGACTACACCATCACATCCCTGTTGTGCATTGGTGGTTCAGTGGTAGAATTTTTGCCTGGCAGGCGAGAGGCCCGAGGTTCAGTTCCCGGCTAATGCAAAATACCTTTTCTTTTTAGGGTTAGTTTTTGTGTTAGTCAGGGTTAATATCAAAATGAAAAGTACTCCTGCTGCTGAAAAATGTCCACTACTGGAATATCATTATATATGACATTATTAGATTGTTAATACTGATGCATCTAGTGTAAGCAGGAGCTGGAGTAAGGAGCGGGAAGTAAGAAAAAACTAAATTCTGCTATACAAATGTTTAGAGGCGTTATCACTATTTGGTGAAAGTGCAAACAACTGGGAACATCTGGTTCAGTCATTAACTATGTTTTGTTTTTTATAACATGATCATAATATTTGATTGTATAAAATCTTAATCTGTAAAGTAACTAGTATCAGCTGTGAAATAAATGCAGTGGAGTAAAAAGTACAATATTTCCCCCTCAAATATTGTGGAGTATAGAAATACATAGAAATACTCCAGTAAAGTACAAATACGTACCTCAATACTGTACTTAAGTAAAGTACTTTTCCACCACTAGAATGCCACTAACTCCCAGTAACAAAGCAAGTGTGTGTCCACTGAAGTGAGTTACACCCGACTCAGATCGAATGACACAGTTAGATAGATAAATCTTTTGAAAAAGCAACGGCAGCCATGGATACTAAGATGACTCCTTAGTCACCGACGAGAACTATAAAGCAAGAGATTCTTCAGAAAAACTTCATTCACTTCTGGTTTTCCCAGAGGCAAAAGTTTTGAGGGGGCAGTTGTGAAAGTCGTCTCTTAAATTTGACCTCACGCAATGAGCTCAGAAATCAAATACACTGTTATTCTGTGTTGTGTATTATTTGATAGTGTGTGTGTGTGATGTTTATTCCAAATAAGTTTATTTAGAAGTTTGTGTAACAGGGCCTGTATTACTTTCCTCTGACCTTTCCTCTAGCGCCAACATGTGATTGATGTTTTTCATTTTTTAGAGAAATGTCTCTTCAATTTTTGGAAGGATTTCCATTAAAATTGGGACACATTTTAATGTCTTCTCAGAATATTTTGCGATAACTTTGATAATCTTCAGTCTGCACTGTCAGGGGTCGGCCCGCCTAGGCCCTCCGCCTTTGGCTGCGGCAGGCGTCGGCTTTATGTTGATTTATTTTTGGGCTGTGCCCGGCCGAACCCCACTCTCGGTCTAATCCTTTCCATGGGATCACTTTTCCTTGGAGACCCTACCAGGAGCTATTGCCCCAGATGCTCCTAGGGTCACTGGAGCACACAAAGTCCTCCACCACAAGGCTATTAAGGTGCTAGCCCCGTGGTGATAGCCCAGGCTATTCATTGGAGAGTAGGGTTAGACCCAGAAGAGACCCCAAGGTAGACCAAGAACACGCTGGAGAGATTATGCATTATTTTGTACTTTTAGCACATACTGCAGCTGCCCTAACAAAGTATGTACTGTTGCATGCAGTGTGCATTCAATTGGGACACACTACTTCCTCATAACATGGCACCTTTGAATTTGAATTTCTTGCTCATATACCTGCGGCACAGAGGATTGTGGGTCAGAATCAGTTAATCAGGTCAGGTAATCTTAGATTCATGCCCATACTGTGACATATGGATCTTGAAGTTATTTACTATTTTAACAGGAAAGTGTTTTTTTTTTGTCATAGAGCATGAAGTGTCCTGGATCACTTAACCTTTAGTTAGATTCTTTCTCATGTAAGCGTTACGAAATATTGCCTAATCCTCTTCGGGCTTAGGAGAACGAACAACCAGTACTCAGAGGAAGTGGCAGACAATGGTTTTTAAGGCCGTTTGTGGTGTATTGATAATAGTCACAGTTGATAGAAACCTCAAACCCCAGCCATCATGTGGAAACCTGCTACCTTCTGCTCTTAGATGAAGAAAAGCTTGCAGTCTTCTGAAAGTAGGCCTACAGTCTTCATCCGTAGAGAATCATAACTGCATGACCATCATATTCATGCCAGTTTTCTTTAATTAGTATTTTTATAATCCTGCCTCTCATACAAACAAACAACTATGCTGCACATTCACAGCCGGCGAGTTATTTTAAGCAGCAGCTCAACACATTCACATTATCTCTCTGAAGAGATACACGACCAGCTGGCCCTCACTGAGCTCACACACAACTAGTTTATTATTCCTTCCTTAAAGTTTGTTCAGCTAACCCCCCCGCTACGTATGGCTGCATACCTAACCAGCAGGAATGTGATTGTACTGCAGCTGAGGAGCCATCAGACTTGTGTCGACAAGCACACAGTCGATTGCATCACATCCGAGTGAGTTATCTGAGTGAATCTGAGGGTGTGTTTGTGTGTGAGCGAGTCTTTTTTTTTCTTTTCCGTCCTTTTAACATGTTAAGTCAGATCAGGAAGTGTGATGCTGTGACAGTAGAGAAGGAAGTGTGCACACAATGGCACTATGTTTGTTTCTGGGACTGGTAGCATGAGAGGGCCCCGGATGAAGACCCCTCTGCTGCTGCTGCTGCTGCTGCTGCTGACCACTCTGACTGGAACAGGTAGGACTCGAAGATTAGTTTCTTTACCCTCCCAACTCACCTACGCTTTCCTGCCTCCTCCCTGCTTTCTCTTTTTGTGCTTTAGTTTCTGCCTTTGTGACTGAGTGGAACGTCTTGATAGGGCAGATGAATGAAATAGCAAGGCTTGAGGATCCAAAGTACTTCGAGGTTAAGTTACAGTTTGGCCGAAACTCACTTTTTAAACACTTTTTGTAAAAACATATGCCACGTGTAGAAGCTTAATCCCTCCTGTATTTCAAATTAAACTATTTTAAGTTAAAGCCAAGATCAGCATACCAAATATATTTGTACAATATACACCGTAGTCTTAGTATTTATAAAACTGATCTTTTGCTTTCCTCTTTTGTTTGAAGCAAAGAGGAACTTTTTTCTCTCAAAGTGAAATCTTTTACATCGTGACAAAGCTCTGTCGGGAACTAATTGCTCAACATGTTGAATATCTCCACCTACTCTGTGCTGTCCAGCAGGTGCATTTTGCAACAGTTTTGTGTGATCTGACTGTGACAGTTTCTCAGATGTTGTTTTAGAAACTACGCACATTAAGTCCCAGCAGAAGTAACTGACTTCATTCACTTTGTGTACTCATTCATTCACTTTCAATATGAACGCTGCACATGTTTTCCTTTAAGTTTCACTATCTTTTTCAATGACATGACGGTAACCATAAAGTAACGAGAGGCGTTGAATTGCAGTGTTGTGCGAAAATGAAGATGATGGTACAGACACTGAGACACATGACGAGGACACAGCTGATGAGCAAGTTGAAGGTAAGACGAGAATAATAAATTCAAGAAATAATAATACACTATGTGGCCAAAATGTATGTGGACACTGTGGGGCTAGACTGCTCAGTCCCATTTTTTCTCTTTTAACAAGATAAAATATCTTGTCGAAGAGACACTTTGTCAAGAGAGCAGCATAAAAAACACTGTTACAACAATAAGTACGACATCAAACAGGACAAGACAACCGTTAAATGCGGTTTAAGTGAAACATTTATGTGGATCCAAAAATAACAATAAATTCAGCAATGGTAATTTGTTTTGACATTTACTTTCTTTTAAAAAATAGAAGAAAACTTTGTTAGACAGAGTAGCTGATAGTATAGAGATAGAAGGGGAACATGCAGGTAAAGAGAGAGAGGTGTTTGACATGTAACAAAGGTCCCTAGTTGGAATCAAACCGGGGATATTGTGACCATACATTTTCACCATACGGCTACCATGATGTTCAACCCTGATAGGTATCAAGTACTTTTTTACATGTTTCCAGAAAGAAGCCGCAGCATATGTTAAAGCTTTGTAGTTTGTTTTTTTTTATTTGTTTTGCCCAACTTTGTTTTAACTCCAGGAAATCTGTAGACGAACTTTGAGAACAGCACAGGCCATTTTGGTTGGCATACAACGATGTTATAGACAATAGTGTGATCACAACTTTGTGACAACAGTTTGAGGAAACATGGCAATACCCCCTCCTGCACAAAGCTATAGTGAAAACGTTTTCAGAAAGAGCTGAAACCAGAATTTGGTTTGATTCTTAGTTTTGTTGATTTATTCTTTGATCAGACATTTACAGATGTAAATCAAGAAACTTTAGAAAGTTGGACTGTATTTTTTCAGGGCAAATAACTTATTAACACTGATGTACTTTTGTTAAATGAAAAAAAAAACTTTTAAGAATACCTACCATGAGAACATTTTTTATTATAGAATATAAAGTCTTTACTCTCTTTTAGCCTTGTGTGTGGTGTCACAGGGCACAACCCGTGAAGGGGCTATAGTCAGTGGACTGAGTGGTGGTTGGTGAGGGGACACTTTTATTTATTTTATCAGATACAGATAGGAATACATATTTTTTTACGACATAAACACAGACACAGACGGTAGTTTTGTGTTAAACCCCTGGTTCATTTATAAGACTTTTGAGTTTTGTACTTCTGTTTCACTGAAAGACACTATTGGCTCCTCATTCTGGTCAAAACATGTTGTTGAGGTTCACTGTCTTTAATGCATTTGAACCTACCTGGTCTTGCCTGCACAAAATGACTGTGAAGACTTTCTACAAGTTATAACTTGTTGTAAGCTTCTTTTTTTTTAGAGGAGTGGAAGCTGTTCTAACAGCAGATTACTGGAAGGCAGCCTGTGGTTTCTGATTGAGGCGTCAAATAATCAGATAATGCTCGGGTTTCCACATACTTTTGGCCACGTGTAATGAATCTTCAAAGCTCGTGAGAATGACTCGTTGAGAATGCCGTCATCATGATGCCTCTCTTTGTTTGTAGAAACAGACCCATCTTATTATGATGCCACTTCAGCACCGGACCCCACAGAGCATTACAGTAAGTCCGCAACAGCTATATATCTATATGGTGTTGTTTTTGCTGAAAAACCTCCATCTACCCTCAGGAACGCTATTAAAGAAGTAGAATTAGAGAAGAAAAAAACGTCAGTACTCATTGACATGTTTCAGTGAAATCATCTAATCTTTCCTCTGCTGTCGTTTCCAGGTGACTCAGAACAGACCACCTCCCCCCAAGATTATGGTATGTCACAGTAATTTACGACTTGTATCATTAGATTAAATGTCCGGACAATGACAACGACCCTGCGGCAGCAAACATTTATGACAGAAGTAACAAATCTAAAGACAGATGACCGTTGCCTTGCTTCTGCAGAGAGTTCAGAAACCACAGTGGACAGCAATGTTACGGGTCCAACCGACGTACCAGAAGAGGAGGAGGTTTTGAGTCCCATCGTCATCCTGATCCCTGTGGTGCTGGTGGTCATTATCATCGGCATGATAGTTTGCGGTATTTTCATCAACCGCAGGTGGAACGAAAAAGTGAGGAATCAAGGTATGTCCATCACGAGAGGGAACACTTTCATTGGGGTGAATGTAGTTTTGTTTATCACATTTAAAGCATTGGAAGTGATCCGTGTATTATAATTTAAAACATCAAATTACCTGCTAAATCGTAAACATGTTAAATTATAGATTATCTGTGTGTGGCCGGGGAATTGACGCTAAATCTGTCCTCATTTTTATTTCCTGTATTAAAATGATTTTGTTGAAAACACCTCAGCTACATATCAATGTTTGCTATTAATACAACTCATGAATACTTATTTATTTTGGCTCTTTTAAGTTAAAGATGGTGATTTATCACAATTACGATGACTGAGCCGTGTTCTCTTCTCATAGAGCTGAGAAAAGAGGATCCATATTTGGATGGGTCCAGTACAGAGAAGGTGCCAATGTAAGTATTGAGAATTTAACTCTTTTTTTTTTTTTTTTACAGCTGCTAACTTGAAAGACTGTTGTCAACAGCATAAAATGATACATTTCAAAGAAATGTTCAGTAGCCCATCTTAATGTCAAATGCTTAGAGAGAGATGACCCTTTTCCTGTTTGAAAAACATGACCTTTGTGCAAAAGAGGTTTAGGTTTCATGTGCATACTACTGTGAGAGTTATGTTGAAGTAATATAGGGTTAACACAAGTCCTACCTACATATCTGTCTTCACTACTTAGAACATCAACAAAATCTCAAACATTATATCTACATCTTGATTCATTGAGGTCACCAAATTGCATTTGCATTGAGATACAAGGCAAACAAATTCTTGTGTGTAGGTGCACGGCTGTGCAGGGAGCCAAAAAGCACCTCAAATAAAGGTCTAAGACGGATGTAGGCCTCGAAGTCTTTATGGAAGCAATTGTGAAACTGTGAAAACAGTATTGGACAAAACACAATAAATTAAATGAGATTTTAAATCAGTGAAAATGAGATAAACAAGAGAAGGCCTAAGACCAAAGGAAGATTACTGTAAAATTGAATTAGTACAGCAAGAAGGAAATGGGGTTCAACTGAAACCAACTGCTGGTGTCAGAAACATTGAAGTTAGTTTGTTAAAGTGGCGATCCTTAAGATTTCAGTCCTGGTTGATTGAAAAATTCTATTTGAGTGAAACCAAAGGAATTTAACAGTCTGAAGTCTTGGGTTGCGTCCGAAATTCCATATTCAATTTTGTGTTTGTGTGCAATGGAGAAAAACTGTAATACAGCATTTGTTTCTGGGAATGTCATCACAGACACGCAATTTGTAAAACTGCAAATATTCAAATATTGCAGTACTTTCGTCAGTGAGCCACAGGCTCAATCACCACTGCGTTACCTCCTTTGGCGATTAAAAGTAACCTAACAGACATTTATTTAACTAAAAATCTTTGAGATTGCCACTTTAACACTGTTTTTTGTGTCTTATTTGATGTCTAAACACTTTGTATCTTCCAGGCCCATGTTTGAAGAAGACGTGCCCTCTGTGCTGGAGCTAGAAATGGAAGAGTTGGGCCAATGGATGAAAGAGGATGGTAGGTATCTCTAAATAAGGCGTGTAAGACATTAAAGCATAAGAATCTGTCAAAGAAAAAACAAGAGGTGTCATGTTTTCTGCAGAAAAGGTTAGATTGACTCTGAGGGGATCTGTTGAGGAATATTATTTGTTACCCATCTCTGGAAGTTGGATTACACACTCCCAATGGGGTTATGTCTGGAAGTCAATGACACCAGACATTCACAGTTAATTTTATTAACTTTTTTTAAAAAAGATCCATTTCTTACAGTGAGATTAGTTGGCAGAGTTTATCCAGCAGAGGTCACTGTTGCTCTAATTGTTGGTGCCAGTTTATCGCATAGTCATTTTTGTAAACAGCGTATTTTAAAGTTTGAGGGTTTAGAGAATGTTTGAGTAATCTCATGTGTATGTTAATTGTTTTGTTTGTTCTAGTTGAACCTGCAGAGGACTTTAAACATGCATGAATCTATTTGTGGTGAGTACAATTTTCACTTTATTTAGTTTATGAACACATGCAGATTTTATTCAGTTCCTTGTCATCATGATACCTCACGCTCAGAGAGCTATTCTCATAAACTTGTAAAATTATCACTTTTTGTTATAATATGCCTTTAATTTCTCAACTCTAAAATATTGTTTTTAGATATCAAAACAAATATAAATGCATGAAATAAAGTGCATAAGTATATATTAGCTTAACTCATATTTTGTTTTCTAGAAACCTTGAGAGTTTACTTGGTAATGTTGAAGTTATATTATTAACCTGCTTCTTTATTATGAATACAATCAAAACAATCATGTAAATATCTGTCTCACACAATAATGAAACAAAATACAGATCAACAGTCGACTTGGGCTGTTTCCAAAAGTGTTTGCTATTTCCTGCCAGCCCGTGTTTGTTGTGATGCAGCAGCTGGTTTCAGCATAGCTACAATGAACTGTGACCCTTGCGTCATGCTACAGTTTGAAAGCACAAACACTCCCAACACCTGCTAGTCATTACACCAGGCATGTATTGAAGTGTGGCGCAACTTAACCCCGGAATAGTCTCTTTACTGGAAGCGCTGGGAAGGCGAGGTCGAGGTCCGCTTCGGTGTAAAAGATGTTGACCAACATCATTTACACACGGCTCTTTTTCTCAGGATTTTATTTCTAAAGCTGTGCAAGAGTTTAGAGTGTACTTTCATTCAACGTGGAGGCCCTCTGTACACATTAGGTTACACAAGAGATGTCAGAACCAAAGTAGATGGGATCTAACTACTGCTGTGTTTACACGCTGCAGCAGCTCTGCCCTGTTTGTCAGGGCTGTTAAAAAGATTCTTCAAACCTCTAACACACTATATGGGACTATTTAAGTCAAATGTCAGGAAAAAACACACACTCTGAATTGACTAAATGACTGTGAACTCCATCACAGCTCCTGACTCAGGCCACCAGAGTTCAGATACAGTATTATTTAGGAGTGACCTCTCTGACTCGGACATTGTCACCTCTCTCTCTCTCCCATGATTTCTGCAGGTCAACAAAGGACGCTCTCCAGCCATGCAAGAACACACAGTTAACAATGTGTCAATGACAACGTGGCCGTTCTGACCTTCTCTACAATAATCCAACTGTGACGACAGCAACTAAATGTGACTGCCAGGGAACACAACACTTAAAGGACACTAGATAACACTTGAAGGACACTAGCAAACATTATTTTCATTTTTAAAGGATAACATTACCAGCAACTTATTGTCCCTGAAAGTATTCAGTGGACAAAGATTGGACTTAAACTTGTTGAATAGTGGCTCTTTGATCAGTGTTGTGCCTTTCATGTATTGCTGCATTGCATTACATTTATTTAGCGGACGCTTTTATCCAAAGCTACTGACAAAAGGTGGATTCAACCATTTGGGTGTAACTCCAAAAAGTGCACGAATCATGCTATTACATTGACGAAATATGCTGATCTACTTCAAGTGATACATTTAGAGACAGTAAGAAGTAGAGAAAGATTTTATGTGCCATGGTGTTGTCTGAACGAAAGAGTTTTCAGTCTGCGATGGAGGATGTGTAGATGCTTTGCCTGTTTTCATTGTATTGTTGAACTGTCGAGAAGTCAACGGCTATAATCCACGGAAATGCGCGGTATTTTCTGACCAAATCCATCAAACAGGGTGAAAAGTATTTAGATTAAACTTTTAAAAATCACTGTGCTTCTGCAGATTCATACTGTGGAGTATGTGGTTATCTTAGAGCGCATTAGGCCGGTACTCTTCTCGTCTTCACCACAGACATGACTGTTTCTGCTGATGGCTTCTCTTTAGCTCAAAGCCTCTTTGTTGTATTACACTGTGTGACTCCCTCCAGCTGCAGGTTTTAATGGGGAAATATCCTGTTGAAGATTGCAGGCATGCATGACAGAGAAGGCCACTCCTTTTCATGCCTGTGCAGAGCTGGTTAGGACTGAGTGTTTTTCATGAATTCTCTAAGTGTGAAAGCAGTTGCACTCATTTCTGAGTCTTTTGATAAATTATTACCCGTTGCTGAAGCAGCTTTCAAAAAGCTGCTGCTGTTAAGGTTTTCATCTCACCATACAGTAGATAATAACTATCTGACTGTTTTGTTTCAGGTTTGGGATAAAAAGTGTTGCATCTAAGCAGTCATGACTCATGAGAGTGCCACTCTCTGAACGTGTCAGTCAGTATTTTACATTATCTTGCACTATAAGTATGAGAATACAGTATACCAAAAGATATTATTTTCAAGGAATGCCTTTTGTAAATATTTCATATGAGGCTGTTGTCTTGTTGTTTTGCTGATGAAGCTTTGAACGAAATTTCGTTAAATAAAATCTCTTGAAAAAAATCACGATGCCAGTGTGCCTCAGGGGATGGATATGTTGCTTTGCTTTTATAATATCTCCACAACTATTGGATGGATCGCCATCAAGTTTAGTACAGACATTCATGGTTCCCAGAGGATGAATCCTACTGACATTGGTGGACCCGTGTCTTTTTTTCTGGCGTCTCCACGAGGTTCACATTTGTGGTTTTGAGTGAAATGCCTCGACAGCTATTGGATGGATTGACAAGAACTCACATAGACTCATTCATCTCCCCCTCACAAGGAATTGGAATATAAACGTTTTATATAATGTAAAAGTTTGGTGACCATCTCAATGTTTTACTTTGCTTTATAAGCAAATACCTGCAGAATGAAGCTTGAGCTGTACTTTATGCTAATTAGCGTCGTTTATTGCTAAGATGAAGAACATGGTAAACATTTCACCTGCTAAACATCCACATCTTACTATTGTTATTGTGAGCATGTTAGCATGTTGACGTTTTAACTCAAAGCACTACTAAATAGCTGCTAGCAGTCCTGTTGTATATGTGTATAGAAAATAATTAAGATTAATGGAATATTCCACCCAGGCACAGATGATAGTTGTCTCCTGTTTTCATTAAATACAAAACAGCAGGTTTAAAGTGCCTCACATATCTGTCCCGTATGTGTTTCTGTCTCATTACGCTCTCTACTGCTATAAATCCACTGATGAGTCCTCTGTGTGCTCTGTATGTGTGATGGAATTCAAACCAGTGGAAGGTCTGAGGGGGTAAGAGGCAGACGATCCATGCAAACTAATGAATACAAATGACAAAATGAGTCCCTCACTCCTTTTTCTCTCTCTCTCTTTCTCATTATTAGATTTCCAGACAGCAGTTCTGTCTGCCACCTCACAGTGTCTGCATCGTCACTGCTGTCTGGCTGCTCAGACGCTGCTGACTAAACGTCGATATTTTCATGATCATCAAGTAACGCGTATAAGGAAATACTGAATTACTGTTTACACAGGTACATCAAGCCTGTTGCCTTTTGTCTGGAGGTAATTGTCGTGTTTCTGTCAACTCAAAAGTAAGATCTGTTTCAAATTTTAGTAAAACACACACTATCTTACATTCTTTTATCTTTTTACACCTTGATTGTTGCAACAGCCTCTTGTCTTCACAAAGTACTAACAGGAGACTGTACAGACCTCAGCTGCCAAGGCTTTCTCATCAGAACTGTGTGACCACATTACACCTGTCATTCCCTCTTCATACTGGCCCCCAGAAATTGATTTTATGATGTTATTAATCAAATTTAAAGAGGCACTCCAGTGAGTATACTAGTCGTGTGTTATGCCACTACTCAGCCTGTGAAATCAGTTTCATTCTGTGGCTTTAGAAGTGCTCCGTCAAAAGTAATAATATTGACCCATCACTTGACTTTAGGTTGGAGACGGACATTTTCTAACGTTTGATTTTCAAAGACGACGTGGGTGTTTACCTGCATTTAGGGCTACTCAAGGTGTTTCCCTTTGTTTTATTTCTGACCTTTTGTGGTGCATAGATTGAGATCTTCGGACAGAGGTCTTTTCTTTGTTCTAAACTTAAAACGGGTCACAGTCTTTGCAGTTGACACCCAGAGGCTGTGAAAAACTTGACTGAACGAGAAAAACTTTATTAAAGAGTTTATCCTAATTTTACTTATTTCTGTTATGTTATTTTACTGGGATTTGTTTTGTAGTATTTCATTCTGTGTCAGCACATTGTGCTTGAGACACTGAGTAGATGGACAGAAAATGAATTCATGAATACAATATTAGCATATAGATAAAGTACAAACACTGTAAATCACACACCAGGTACGATATATATTTTAAAGGTGTATGTGAGGAAGGGTATGTTTATATCTTTGATTAAAGTCATGTATTTAACAGTGAACAGAAATGTGATGTAATCCCTCAGAGGGCACGTTCATAACATCGCATTTCCAGTGACCTGTCGCTCTGAATTTACTAAGCCTGTGTGGACTGAATCACAGTCTACCCAGCAGGCACTGTGGCTGCCTGTCACACTCTATCAGTTCCATTTCACGGCCGTGTTTGTTTGCTTTCAAGAGCTGTGATGTTACAGAGCACCGTCCGTCTGTCGCAATCATCGCATTCAGTCATTCTTGGGCAATCTTTGAGTGGAAAACACAGCGTACACCAGGGAGTGTGTGTGTGTGTGTGTGTGTGTGTGTGTCATTACAAGGGACTTACTTCACAATAGTTTTGAGTTTTGTAGAGTCGTGATGAGCAGTTTAAAGCGTGTGAAACTTTTTCTCTGCCTGAAAGACTGCTTCTTGCCCCATTTGGACAACATTTGATAAGACACACCAACCAGGGCTGGAGCTGAGGACACTGGGGTCATGGCCTCTGTACTTTTTTCCCAGGAAATTTGGGAATCTGAGGCACATATTTTACTTTTTATAATTGAACGTTACACATTATGGGACTTTTAAATGGTGAGACCAACTTTGTTTTAGACTTGGACAAGCACAAAGAAGGGAATAAATAATAACAATTCAACTATTTTAACTTACGAGAATGTAATTTTCAGGAGGGGGAAAAAGCTCTTAGAAAACCACTGGTTGCCAGTCTGGGGGTCGGGTACCCTCAAGGGGTCTCAAGAAGAATGTGAGGGGTCATCAAACACGTGTTATTTATACATTATTGTATAAATGCAGTACATACATATAAAATCACTCTAGACATTATTTTATTTTAAGAGGTCACTCTTTAGACAATAGGGAAACTCTGAGACATACAACCTTTTTACATGACTAAAAACTAACAAAAAAGATAAAAGAAAACTGTTTAATGAAATAAACACGGTATGATGATTCAGGTTTCTTCAAAGCCCTCTGCAGTTTGTATGTGGAAATATTGAGATACAATCTCAGTATTTCTAAAGAGCTGACACAGACAACACGCAAGATTATCCAGTATTATATTTTACTGTTTAGTTTTACTGACAAAACGCCCTAAACAGCACATAGAAAGATGACACCAATAAAAATCACAGGCTTTGAGTTAAGCTTTGAGAAGAGTCCACTTTCAGGACCAATTTCCTCAAAAACACACAGCTAGAGAGTATTTAGTAACAAAGTGAGGATATTTACAGTCGTTCTTTGTATCCAGGGTCTGTGTTTCAGTCTTCATTGACTAGCTGACAGTCTCAATTCCACACTTCTCAGGACCACATGTTTGGTGCTTAGTGATATCTCAGGGTTTCAGACTCTCCCTGGAGGATCCAGATACAGGACATGAAAATGACCGTGAGCCAAAGCTAACCATGACTGGTACTAGAGGGCTAACCTAAGCAGCAGAGGCAGCAGCAGCAGTCTAATCCATTATAAATTGTTTTGGCTTTTTTATTTTGCCGATGAGTAAATGTGGCTCGACGTAAAATTAAGTCTACGTTTTCAAGCAGAGTGATTTCTGACACCATGCAAATTTGGATCCCCCTCCAATATAAAAATGATTTATTATCTTCAACTTCTCTTCAGATAAACTACTTGTGAAACCATCAGTGAGTGAGGTTAGGATTTGTGCACAGTTTAAGTAATCGACCCTTCAAGGTATCAATCTTGTATTTTATTTGTTCAATCACAATGAACATGTGTTTGCTTACAATGAAGTCATGGTGGCTTAATAGAGAATTTGCATCTGTTAGTGGAGCTATTGAATATGCTCTGTTTCATTCTATAAAAAGACATATGGGCTTTGAAGTCATTAAGAATTTGAACCACACAATTTAATCAGTGGACTAGATAAACTCTGATTAAAATTGCACTAATTGGCATATCAAAATACATTGAACAAACAGATACACAAATCATATTGGAAATCATTTTGGATTGAATTAACTGAAGATAACAATGGGTCATTACCATATACATCCTGCGTTTAAAATAATGCTTGAGAAACACATTAAAAATCCTGCTTGACATATTTTTTTATTTTATTATTCCATGCTTTATTTATATTCATGTCCATCAGTGAACTTTTAACTCCTTACTGTCCAAAAAGGCCTCTCAGATCTGCTGGCTTAGTCCTGCAAGCTGTTCAAGAGTCCAGGTTAATTTCAAAGGCTTTTCAAAGGCTGTTTGCTGCACTGCTTTGGAACAGTCTTCCAGTTAGTTTTCGATCTGCTTACACTGATTTTGCTTTTAAATCCGGTTTTAAGACACATTTTTTTCAGAATTTCCTTTTTGTCTGAAAACTAGCATTAATGTTTACATAATACAGCTTTGTTGTGCAATTTTGAGTTTCACTTGTCTGAGCTTTTGAGTGATTTATCTGTAAATGTCTTTTATAAAGTCTTTTAACTGTGCTTGTATTTTTTTTATTTGTGAGTTATTTTTCTTCTTTTTATCAAAGGTTAGGTTTGTTATGATTAATATGTCATTCCACTTACTTTAATACATATCTAAGTTGATGTATCAATATTATGTTTATAATTACCCTTTTTAAAGTACATTTGCGTGTATCTGAAAGCTTAAACGTATTAATCCTTTCTTTTAAATGCATTATTTGTACGCACGAATGTAAATGTTCATGTACCTAACATATCGCAACTGCACTGTACATTGAGTATCATCTATCTTTCAAATAGGCAAACCTTCACAAAAACTACACCCGTTAACCGCACATGGATGTCATCCAGGGAGTATATTATTACATCACATTCGAGCGCCCACGACCAAACAAAAACGTGGCGTCATCATGTTGCGACAGCCATTCGCTCCAGTCGGTGGAGAGTCAGGAGACGAACAAACCTGGCGGTTGTCGAAGAGCCTGTGAACGGCTAAATCACTCACAACTGACACGCTGGTTGCTCTCAGTGGATGTGTTTCCCCTCTTGCAATGGTCGGACGCCTTCACACGTCGCCTAATAAAACAACAGAGTCAAAGGGTCGACCGACACTCTCGTCAGTTTGACACAGCAGCTAACGTTAGCGGTGTTTTACTAGCCAGCTAACATTACACGAACTTGGGTCTGTGGAGGCTAGTTAGCTCGTCCAGCTAACGTGCTAGCTTCTGTTAGTTAGGGTGCATACACTTGACTTGCTGCTGGTGGGAAACCAAGGAACGAAAGAAGAGGAGCGTTTCACCTC